ATGCATGGAGAGATCATGCAAACTCCCAGAAAGGTCCCCTGCTGGGATTCGATCTCACAACCTTTCATGTTGTGAGGCAAGACACAGGAAATAAACAAACCAAAAACACTTTGGTTTGTTCTGCTTCCTAAGACACAAAAACAACTAACCATTGTTTCCATGCAACTGTTTTGGTACCTACTAATCTGTGATGCTAAGTCATTAATAAAATCACTAAAATAAGAGCTGAACCAGCTTTAAATATTTTTCAAAGATTAAATTAATCTTTTTTAGTTTATCTCCTCCCAACATAACCAAACTGTATTACAGCTGATTAGATTTTATGGTATATAATAAATTTTCTCTAAGACATAACAAACAACAGATGCTCAATCTGAAGTTTTCAGTCACATAATGGTGAAATAATACATATGCTGACCACTATTCTGATCCCAGAAAGCCTGCCTTAAAGCCACAAACAGCTACTATAGGCCTCTAATGTTGCTTGTTGGTGAACGCTTTTGATCAGTCAAAGTTAAACCCAAACAGCGCGGCGTGCCCCGCTTCGCACAAACTTCCCTCATACATGAAAAGAAGTTTCTCATGAATATATTTCTACACTGGCAGGAATAAACAGAGACCAGAGGCTAATGATTCTTATCGTTTCCTCCCACGGCACAGCGTGTACACTTAACCTCTCCTCCTCCTCACTGTACCGCTGACCGAAATCCCAATTGTTGAGATTTCCAAAGCCCTGAAAGAATCTGATTGTGAGCTTTTCTCGTGGATGATAAGTAAGAGTTGATAAAGAGGAAAGAGGCTGTTGTTTTAATCACCGCCTTATGGTGACGAAAAGAAAAAAGAAGTCTAATTGCTGCCACACCTGCTGCATTCACTGAAGCTGCTTTGAATGTTCTGCGTCACGTTGACCAAACAGATCCTACAGAAGCAGCAGCCTCCACTGAAACACATGCTGGCCTTTCTTTGAAAACTCCACATGCAGTCTGTCGAGTGATTAATTGGTTTCTTCGAGCATGTCTCTGTCTAATCGCAGGGAGGTGACCTGCGGCATGTGTAAAGATGAAGATGTTTTATTTGCCCCTCCGTCACTTTACAAAAACAACTCACTACCAGAAAGAACCGTTTCCACTCTGAGATCCACCTGATGGACCCACTTCTTCATTTTTGAATCTATACTCAACATAACAAAAATATAAAACTTTACTTTCCTCACGGTGATAGATTGATGTAGGTTTTTATTTTTAAAAAAATCCTTTTCATCTTGAACGATTTAAGACCCGCTTTTGATGTTATTAATCAAGTCAGCATGGACCTCCTTGAAATATTGGACATGACAGCCCTCTGATGACAGGTAATTATAGAATTACACAGTCATTTCAATTCACACTCATTTTCAGCACTGACTGGGTGTGACTATGCAGGGGTTTGTTCAAACGATGGATGGGAACAGTTTTATGCAAGCTTTTTTTTTCAGGAGGAAATGAGTTCGGCTCCAGAAGTCACATGTTCAACCATGTGAGGGTTTTTTAAGTCGATTCTAATGACAAAATAAACCCTCTCTTGTGAGAAGTCCAATTATACACAAAAATCTATAGCTGCAAGCAAATAAAAGCACCTTAGTGTCTACGAGGAAAACTGAAAGTAACTAAGACCAGCTCACTTAGAACCACCCACAGACCCAACTGCTGCAGCTTCCAGCTGCTCTGCTGTTTATCATTTGGCTCTTTGAGCCTCCGGCCCCCCTGTAAGGACTGTGTTTACATCCACGTCACCTCAAACGGATAATTGCATACTGCTTTCTGTATAGATGTATTACAGAGAATACACAATAAATTATCTGTTTTAAAACTGCTAAAAATAACTAAAAATGTTTTTAATGAAAGCAGTGTTTCAGTCAGGTTGTTCTACTTGTGTGAAATGTCCCTTTAAGACCCCAGATCATGTTCTTTGAAATTGGGTTTGTGGAAAAGTTATGAACAGTTCATTTAGTGTTGACAGCTCTTTGAACAGTCTTACTTTGGAGTAATAAAATGTATGTATATATATATATATATA